AACATCACATTGAGCCAACATTAGATCAATCTCCTAATCTATCTCTCAATCTATCTTAATCTGTTTATTCCGTTAACAAATACAATGGATTTTCACGGGAACTATTACTGACTGAGGAAGCCTTCAACAGGAAAAGCATTTGGATGGGGATAATCTATTTTTACTCTTTCTAAAAATTGTTTCATCTTTGTTTCATTTACTTTTACTTGATTATGTTACAAAATCTGGCATGTAATATATTTTGTTTAAATAAAGCTGAAAATAATCATCTTATCAAGATTTCTCTGGTACTTGTAAGCATTAACGTTGCCCTAAAAGAGGTCCCTGCCTACGAAATAGAGAGAGGCTCTGTTATATGTGAGTATGATATCTCTTCTATGTTTCATAAATTTTTATCTTAACATTGACTATGTGTGAATTTTGTTTATTGCATTTATTGCCCATAACATACAAGAAAGGGAATCTCCAAAAAAGGGAGAGTGCCCACATGAAGAAGTCCAAAGCCATAACTAGCTAGACACATCTCTGGCTTCTCTTTTGTGAGTGGGCATTTAATCAGTTTAATACATTCTTTTCATTTTATAGCTGTCTGCATTATTATTATTTTTTTTTTTAAAGGTTTTTTAACACTAAAAAGGGATTTGAGTAATAATTGTAGGTAGAAAAGGTATAACGTGTGTAACGCAATTTAAAAACTATAATTAAAATGACACAAACCCTTTTATTTGTACCATAAGCATTTTAAATAATATATTAATACTAACCATTAAGTTATTTGTTTACACATAAATCGAACACTCTGTGTGTGGACTTGTACAGAACTACATGTAAAAACACTTTATTGGATAATTGTTTTATTTAGAATAAATTTGCTTTATTAAGCGCTCCACTAATATAAAACTTACATTCTGTTCTCTTATGGTTTCAGAAGTTATGAACATACACATAGTTTCTTATTCATGGCTAATGCTAGTGCATGTGAAACTTAAATGGGAGAAGTTAGTGGTTGAATAAACTACCTTAGCTGTGAGGTGTGCTGACCAAGTTTATAGTAGGTTTATACATGTTTATTAAATACTTTTTTTTTTAAGTATTCATTGCTTTCGTTTAGTTTGTATGTTTGTTAAAAATTGTTTGCTTGATGATTTTTTTTAAATAATTGTGTTTGCTAATATCGTTAATATCGATATTATTGAGGAACAAACCATTTTAAAACAGTTTTCTGAGTTTTAGCTCTATACAGATTTGTTGGGCGTGATTTATGTACACTTTGTTCATTATAAAATAATGCATCTAAGATTCAGATGTCTTTCTGATCTCAGAACGCTTACTGTACAGGCTGTGAGTTTTCCTGTATCACTGTGTCAATTGAAGCACAGAGATACACTGCACTCTGCTCAGGTCTGATGTTCTGCAATAGTAGAACACTGGATTTTCTGTTTTCGGCAAACACCATTTTATATGGCTCATCAATTGCAATATGTTTGTATCCACTAATTAGGAATTTGGGAGTTTGTCCAGGCGTCATTCTGTACCAGTGGATATAATCAGAAGTGCTAAGAGAAGGGTGGTCACAAGTGAGGTTCAAGTCTCCTCCTGCAAAGACTTCCACCAGGGGTGGCTGGATAATATTTGAACTGCAAGATGTACCTGAAATATACCAACATATGTCAAAAAGTAAATCTTACAGCTAAACACCTGTATATGAAAACATTTTGAGTAAAATATATCCAGGTAGCTGTAAAAATATTTACATTTTCAGACCCCCTAGAAATATATCCACTAAACATTTGTTACCAAATTCTACAGCCAGTTAAATAAATAGCAGTACTCACATAGAAATAAGACTATCACAGCTCTAAATGAATGCATGTTTCATGGAGGCGCTAATGCTCAATGTGGCTGAAATAATTGTGTCACAGTTTTAAGGTGCAGACTTGCATTTTTTTTTTAGGGTGGGGGGGTGGGTTCTATTTGAAACCACATCTATCAATTTAGTGTAAAAATAGATCCATCCAGCCATCTGCTTTTTAATACTCTTTAACACCATCACCACCTAGTGAACAATCATTGTAAATCTACTTGTTTATGTGGATATATGTTTAAGAACTCATCCATATTAGTTGAATGCAGTACTACCTATTTTCAGTAAATTGGTATAACTATTTAACATGCTTATTAATGTTTGCATGTTTATCCAGCATACATTTATTCCGAATTATTTAAAGAAGTAGTTCCCAATCCATCCCTCAATTCACATAAACAGTCCAGTTTTAGACATTTCCCAATTCTATTACAATGATAATACTAACACAATTTGAATCATTGATGTACCTTGAATATAGTATTGGGAAAGGCTAGTCTATATAGCAAAGTAATTTTATTAAAAAATAAAACCAGTTGTACTCATACTAGTATATATTGGAAACAGTGAGAACAACAGGTGATGGTCACTAGGCATAATGAGTAGATGGGTAAGGTCAACGTGATAAAAAGAAGAAATAATGTCAGGTGACTTAGAGTGACCAATAAGGGAAGAGGCAAGTTGGAGAGGATGAAGGAATACATTTTGAATAGGTGTTTTTTTTCGAGATTTTCAGAAAAATGTGAGGGATGTCACTGGATATGATAGAGAAGGTTATTTCCGTACAAGGGAAAAAAAGAAGAACAATGGGACAAGTAAGGGTAGACGGCTGGAACCAGTAGCACATGTGGTGGGGGTAAGATGGGTGGTGTGGTGAAGAGGCAGAGAAGAGAGGTTGGAATATAATAAGAGATAAGTGAGTATATACATGTCAGTGTATACTTGAGGATATTTTAGCATTTACAAATAAGAATCCAGTGATCCATGCAAACAAATGTTATTTGCACAGCGCACTAGTTGTTAACAGTTATCTTTTTGTTTCTTAACTATTTGGAGGAAAGAAAAATCTTCTTTTGAAAGAGAATATCTTTAGTGAATGACGTTTAAAAGAAAGTTGAAATAAATATGTCTGTCAATGTATAAGGGGAAATCAAATATGACACCTAAATCACAAGCTGTCTGTAAAGGGTAAAAAAAAGTAACAAAAGGGTTAGGAATAATGGAAAGGGCATTCCAGAGGTCACAAATGGAAGAACTTTTATTGTATCTTGGTAGATTTCAAGGAAGTGGAAGACATCAAGAATGCAAAATCAGAGAAGCATGGGGAAATAGAGGAATAGAGTTATGAAAGAAGATAACAATCAAAAGATCTGAATAATCTATGCAGTGAAGCTGGTAAGGAAAGTTGTATCTTGCCATTCTGGGGTCAAAATGATTTATTTTCCTGGTTTATTGAAAAAATTGGAAGATCTTCAAACTGGGTTTTTGCCTTCTTTTGGATCAACAGCAAAAACAGATGTAAGAAAGGCTGAACTTGATGGATGCATGTTACTTTTCAGTAAATTGACCAAACACTAACCCATTTTGCAACACAAACACCTATTTTTTATGAATATAGTTGTTACTTTACACAATACACTATGATTTATATACCTTATCTAACTTATTGTACTAAAAAAAACAACCTGCCATCATCAATGTCATATACTACTCCCAAGTCGAAATCAAGAGAGGGTAGGGGAAACAGATCTGTACCCCGATCTACCATCAGCGGTAATGTCATTGCTTCTGAGAGTTGAAACAACTCTTCCTCAGATATGAAGACTGTTGACACTTTTGCCACTGCTGCCTCCACTGCCACCACCACTACTACCACTATTATTAGTGGTATTCAGCTTTAGGATAGTGGGGTTAGCAGCATTTCCATTAAATCCAATTCAACATCCAGAAGGCAATTGGTTTTTTTCCCCTATCCTTTTCATGCTACAATAACTTGTGTTATTGCTTCCGTTGGCATTGCAGCTCCTCCTACCACAGATAGTTCAAGCATTAAACATTATTGGTGTCCAACAAAGAACCAACTAAGGGAGACAGCATCAAAGTTTACTTTGTTGGGGGTAGCCACAGCCCCTCTTAACTGAGTATTTAGCACATATAGTAGAAGTAGTGTCCCCAATGTCTGGTTTTGGTTGTGGCAGTCATGAATTTGATGATGAGATCTGATTCTGAGTAGTTGTAACAACCTACCACCAGTGCTACCTTCAACTCTACTAACATAAGGAAGAGCAGGTGGTGGTAGGATAGTGCTAGTAGTATGTGCAGGAACAGTCACACCACTTATCATCTAGTGAAGTAAAAAATAAAAAATAAAAAAAATAGAAAAAAATAAAATTAATCTTACATAGCTGCTAGTACCAATATCATTTATAGCCACTTTGATTAATTTATTTAGAATTCGGTGTGCTTCTGTGCCATTGCTTGTGCTTTGGAAATTGCAAGCATCATCCCTCATTATACAGTTTGTGGCTGCAATTTATTGCACATGTGACCACTGCCTAGACTGAGTATGACAGTTTTTTTTTACTGTTTGTAGAAAAAAAAAGTATTTTAAAATGTGGTGGTACTGGTGGTCATCCCCTTGTTCACCCACCTAAAAAAATTTAATGATATTAAATGACTCCTGCTGCTGCTCCCCCTTTTTTGCTAATGCCATTCATTGTGGTTTTTCCCTGCCTGAGTGTAATGGTGCCTGTAACCTCTGCTGACTCAGTTGGGACAAGCTGAAAAGATGCTGCTTTTTTCCATAGTGGAGGAGGGGTCACTTATTTTTCTTGTTCTTGCCAGGGTTGAAGTGATGAGTGGGTTATCAATTGCCCACTGACATTTTCCTTTCATTTTTGTATATATATATTATTATAACGTTAAATAACTCCTTAATCCCATATTTATTAATATAAGATGGCAACACTTGACCCATTGAAGTACAGTACATAAAGCATGACCTACCACCAAGAATTCAGGCCCCAACCAACTGCAGGATTCAGACATGTTTCCTATACCATTTTCATGTTACCCCATTTATTTTGTTGTTATGTATGATGCAGATACCATCACAAGAGAATGTTTTTGAAAATGCCAATTGCACTGATGTGTGCAAGATATGTAGTTAGAAGGAATTTCTTTGTGGCACTAATGCTGTTTTGAGAAGTCTTGTTCCTCTCTGCATTTTTTTCTTATGTGTCATTTATACTAAGCACTCTTGTTTACAGATTTTCTTGTGAAACTATAAATAAAGAATGATTAAAATATGTCAAAATATTACAATCAATCATTCTAAAACTCCAAAAATATAATAATATAATTTGTGAAGAAGTGAGTTAGTGTAAGCATTAGTTTTAACATTAGCATTAGTGTTACATTGTGTTACGGTTTCCTTTAAGTGGAGGCATGGAATAGCCTTCCAGCTGAATTGGTAGAGGTTAACACAGTAAAGGAGTGTAATCATGTGGGGGATAGGCATAAGGCCAGGGACTAATGAGAGTATTTAGAAAATTGGGCAGAGTAGATGGGCCGAATGGTTCTTATCTGCCTTCACATTCTAGGTTTCTATTTTCTTATTTTTATGGGACACATGGGGAAAGGGACTATATTACTAGGGGTAGGAACACTAAAGCATTAGGGATATAGGATTTATACTTAAAACATTAGTGTTTTTTTAAGGATATCGGTAGGATTAATTAGTTAATTTATGCATAGGTTTAGAGGTAGGGTTGATATAGAATTATGGGTAGATTTGGTATAGAGTTAAATTTAACTTAGCTGCCTAGAATAAATGTAGATCTTAGGCATATGAGGCATTCAACAATCAGGACTGATTCGAGAACGGGTTATTTCGCTTAGTTGCACTATTTGTGTATAACTGATGCACTTGTTGCACATGATGTATAAATCTTCTTGTTAGATTAGTTTTAGCTTTTTTGTTCTTTCGATTCTTTCCCATTTATAACAATTTATTCCTAATTAATGTGGTGTTATTAATTCACGAGGGATAATAAAAGAGTAATTTCAGTCCTTTAAAAAAACAAACACCAGACTCGCCAGGGTTGTATATGTGGTTGAATAAGGTTTCAAGACCAGGGTTGAAACAAATATGCCCTTCTACGGCAAACTCCCTCCACATTTGGGATAAACTTAAGTTAAAATATGGTCTAACTAATTTCCCTTCACCCATGACCCCTGTTTTTCGGAATAGACAATTTATTCCTGGTATGGAAGAACACAATTTTCAAAGCTTAAAGGCAGGAGGAATCTATAGATATGTAGATCTTTGGTCAGAAGGAGAGGTAGTTTTATTTTCTAGTTTGTTGACCAGAGTAGAACTGAGGACAGGAGATTTTTTTCGTTATTTGCAGATTAGAGATTTTGCGTATTCAATGGAGGTAAAAACGGCAGTTAAATTCCCCTTCACTAATTTTGAAAAAATGTGCAAAATAGGTAGGTTAAAGGGAGGTCTTAGCTCTGATTTGTATAATTAACTAAGTGAGGAACCTACGGTTTGGGCTCCATTAAAGTATATATCCTACTGGGAGGCAGATTTAGGTTCTTCTTTGGAAACTAAGGATTGGATAGATATCTGGGAAACAGCATCCAAAATATCGATTTGTGTAATCTCGCAGGAACAAATGTTTAAGATATTATTTAGGTGGCATGTGACCCCTGTTTTTTTGTACAAAATAGGTAAAAATCTGACGGATCTTTGTTGGAGGGGATGTGGTTTACAAGGGACATATTTACACATGTGGTGGGATTGCCCAAAGATTAAAAGCTATTGGGAGGAAATAAGGGAGCTAATTCAAGTGATAATACAGGGAAATATAGAACTCAATCCTTGGATATTTTTGCTATCGAAATCAATAGCAGGTATACCCTGCCATTCGCAGAAATTAATATTTTTAATTTTATTGGCCGCACGTAGATGTATAGCCGCTAGCTGGATAAATCTGGATTT